TACTACTGTGTGTTATGAGGTGTAACAGATCCCCGTACTACTGTGCACTAGAAGTACTGTGAGTACTGTACTGTGAAGCTGGTTTTACTGGCATGTCCCTAGTGTTGATGAATCTCTTTCATAAAACCACACCTTTTAGAATTTTACTGAAGCATGATGGATATGAAATAAACAAAATATAATCAACAACAGTGTGTTGTATGTAACAGCAGGCTAGACCAACAACAGTGTGTTGTATGTTACAGCAGGCTAGACCAGAATTCTAACTCTAGACTTGAGTTTGTTACCTTGTTGCTCTAAGCGAGTTGAGCTTCCTTGTCAACAGAAGTGTCTTGGCCCAAAGAATCCAAAACGAAATTAAGGGGGGGATTACTGCATAGTTATGGAAAAAAACTATTGTGCAGTTGGACAGGGATTCTTAATACATAATTAACATACGTGTAAATGTTAACATATAGCAATACGTTAACATTACAAATGGTAACGGAAAATGTTGGTTTCTGCCTTTTTCATCTGAAAAGATGTTTTCTTGAAGATAAAAAACCAAGTTCAGTAAAAGTATTTAAAAGCAAAAAGTTGAAGTTGAATTGCAAAGGAGATCAAGTCCAAAAGTCAATGACAATCTGTTAACTGAAAGGAGGGATTAGATCATCCCTCGTGATAGGGTTCTGACCTCTGTTGTCAAATGACCCTTCCTGTAACTGTCATTGATTTGGTGAAAATACACCAAAAACATTTTGTGTTTTGATCTCTTAAAAGAACGATCATTGTCAACTTTAACAATCTTCTGTCATGTTGTAGAGTAATTGGCACTCTGTCCAATTCCAAGGAGTTTGCTGAGGAGTTCAAGTGTCCATTAGGATCCAGGATGAATCCAAAAGAGAAGTGTGAGGTATGGTAAAGACCTCGACCTCTCCCATTGGCTGTGGTCCAGTATGGTAAGGACCTCTCCCATTGGCTGTGGTCCAGTATGGTAAGGACCTCACCCATTGGCTGTGGTCCAGTATGGTAAAGACCTCTCCCATTGGCTGTGGTCCAGTATGGTAAAGACCTCTCCCTCGACCTCTCCCATTGGCTGTGGTCCAGTATTATGAGGACCTCTCCCATTGGCTGTGGTCCAGTATGGTAAGGACCTCTCCCGTTGGCTGTGGTCCAGTATGGTAAAGACCTCTCCCATTGGCTGTGGTCCAGTATGGTAAGGACCTCACCCATTGGCTGTGGGCCAGTATGGTAAAGACCTCGACCTCTCCCATTGGCTGTGGTCCAGTATGGTAAAGACCTCTCCCATTGGCTGTGGTCCAGCATTCCAGTTGTTATGGAAGGAGTGATAGTTTTCATGGTACTATAATTATTTGTTACAATATATAGCCAGACTTCTTTTATTGGCTGCTACGGAAAAAGCATACGATAACTACAGCAAATGATAGCAGATTTGACAGAGTTCTCCATTAAAGTGTGTGTAATCCAGGTATCATGATGTTCTACAGTGATTAACAGACTATGATTATGGCAGTTCTCACATTGTTAGGGCTGACTGCATTATGAACTATTGACACACATTTACTTTGTTATTATCAATTTATAATAATGAAAGAAAATATCTGATTTCAATCAGTATTTCAAATCTCAATAGTAAGCTTAACTTTATAATAAATAAACTTATTTGTGGCCTAGCTATATTGTATGATGGTGAAGTTTCCTTTAGGGTTAGGGCGTGCCACACTGGGGCAGGACCAGAACTGCGATGTGAAAATAGAAGTAGCCTCTATCATGACTAAGAAGTCACCTGGAAACAACATTTACTGTGTCTTATTATCAATGGCAGTCGTAAGGATATCATATAAATGATGGAAACAAAATCTGGTATACATTAATCAAATATAGAAAAAGATATTTTTCAAATAAATTTGTTTTTTATTGATAAAACAAATTGTTACCTATAACCTTGTATACTAGTGTATAACAAATGTAAATATAAGTATAAGTTGTGCCGTGGTTTGAGGTCACCACGGTAACCATGTATAATCAGACAGAAATCCTAATCACAAGTATTCTTCATTGCCACAAATTCATCCCTTTTTTTAGCTCACCTGCCCGAAGGGTTCGGGCAGGTGAGCTTATGCCATGGCGCGGGTCCGTCGTCAATATTTTGCTTTAAACAACTTCTTCTCAATAACCAAAAAGCCCAGGGTACTGATATTGGGCCTGTAGAATGCTGCGATGAAGGGCTACCAAGTTTGTTCAAATGAATTACCTTGACCCACTTTCAAGGTCGCAGGGGTCAAATGTCTTAAAATATTCAAATGATTTCTCCTCAATAACCAAAAGGCCAAGAGTACTGATATTTGGCCTGTAGCATGCTGGGGAAAAAAGGGCTACACAGTGTGTTCAAATGAATGACCTTGACCAACTTTCAAGGTCACAGGGATCAAATATGTTAAAATCTTCAAACGACTTCTCAATAACCAAAATGCCAAGGGTACTGATATTGGGAGTGTAGCATGCTGGGATGAAGGGCTACCAAGTTTGTTCAAATGAATGACCTTGACCAACTTTTAAGGTCACAGGGGTAAAATGTGTTAGAACTTCAAACAACTTCTTCTCAATAACCAAAAGGCCCAGGGTACTGATATTGGGCCTTTAGCATGCTGGGATGAAGGGCTACCAAGTTTATTCAAATAAATGACCTTCTTCTTTTTTCAAGGTCACAGGGTCAAATATGTTAAAAACCTTTAAACGACTTTTTCTTAATAAACAAAATGCCAAGGGTTATGATATTTGGCCATTAACATGCTGGGATGAAGGACTACCAAGTGAATGACCTTCGCCCATATTCAAGGTCACAGTGGTCAATATATGTTTAAATCTTTAAATGATTTGTTCTGTATAACTAAAAGGTCCAGGGTAATGATATTTTGCCAGAAGCATGCTGGGTTGGAAGACTATAAATTCTGTTCAACCTAATGTCCTTGTTCGACATTCAAGGTCACAGGCGTCATATGTTTAATTCTTTTAATAGGTTCTTCTTCATCAAACACTGATATTTTGCCTGTAGCTGATTTTAGTCCACTTTTAAGATTACAAGTGTGAGATTAATACCAGGTGAGCGATGCAGGCCCATTGCGCCTCTTTTTTAAGTTAAAAAGTGTTGTTTTTGTTTTGTAACAAAACATTTTGTGTGTCTAAGACAGATTGCGTGTTTGTTACGTATCTGTTTATAACACATCAGTGTTGGAAAACAAAATGTGTGCAGACCACAAGGAACTGATTGCTAAATATAAAACTGATGTTTGATATAAAACTGATGTTTATTATAATATAAAACTGATGTTTCATATAAAAGTGATGTTTGATATAAAAGTGATGTTTATTATAATATAAAACTGATGTTTTATATACAACTGATGTTTGACATAAACCTGATGTTTGACTTATTCATTCATGGTTATATTTTAAGTAGTTTCCAGGATTTGCTAGCATGGGTTAAAGTAAAAAGATAGTGTCGTATATAGGTAATGTTTGTGGTTTACATCCCACCTGTTGTATCAGATAGCTGTTGTATCTACATGTCGTTGTTGTATTTTAAGATATGGTTGCTATTTAATTTTGATTGATGTCTAAATTTAGTGAAGATGTTCACATGGACAATGAGATCTGCATGTATGTAAAATCCCAGTCAGATACAGAGTTGAAGTCTACTGTGATCCCCTAGCCAGAAGTCTATTGTGATCTCCTAGCCAGATGATCTCCTAGCCAGAAGTCTAATGTGATCTCCTAGCCAGAAGTCTACTGTGATCTCCTAGCCAGAAGTCTCCTGTGATCTCCTAGCCCGAAGTCTCCTGTGATCCCCTAGCCAGAAGTCTCCTGTGATCTCCTAGCCCGAAGTCTCCTGTGATCCCCTAGCCAGAAGTCTCCTGTGATCCCCTAGCCAGAAGACTCCTGTGATCCCCTAGCCAGAAGTCTACTGTGATCTCCTAGGCAGAAGTCTACTGTGATCTCCTAGCCAGAAGTGTACTGTGATACCCTAGCCAGAAGTCTACTGTTATCTCCTAGCCAGAAGTCTCCTGTGATCCCCTACCCAGAAGTCTACTGAGATCTCCTAGCCAGAAGTCTACTGTGATCTCCTAGCCAGAAGTGTACTGTGATACCCTAGCCAGAAGTCTACTGTTATCTCCTAGCCAGAAGTCTCCTGTGATCCCCTAGCCAGAAGTCTCCTGTGATCTCCTAGCCCGAAGTCTCCTGTGATCCCCTAGCCAGAAGTCTACTGTGATCCCCTAGCCAGAAGTCTATTGTGATCTCCTAGCCAGAAGTCTACTGTGATCTCCTAGCCAGAAGACTCCTGTGATCCCCTAGCCAGAAGTCTACGGTGATCTCCTAGCCAGAAGTCTACTGTGATCCCCTAGCCAGAAGTCTACTGTGATCCCCTAGCCAGAAGTCTACTGTGATCTCCTAGCCAGAACTCTCCTGTGATCCCCTAGCCAGAAGTCTACTTTGATCTCCTAGCCAGAAGTCTCCTGTGATCCCCGAGCCAGAAGTCTACTGTGATCTCCTAGCCAGAAGTGTACTGTGATACCCTAGCCAGAAGTCTACTGTTATCTCCTAGCCAGAAGTCTCCTGTGATCCCCTAGCCAGAAGCCTACTGGGATCTCCTAGCCAGAAGTCTCCTGTGATCTCCTAGCCAGAAGTCTCCTGTGATGTCCTAGCCAGAAGTCTCCTGTGATCCCCTAGCCAGAAGCCTACTGGGATCTCCTAGCCAGAAGTCTCCTGTGATCTCCTAGCCCGAAGTCTCCTGTGATCCCCTAGCCAGAAGCCTACTGGGATCTCCTAGCCAGAAGTCTCCTGTGATCCCCGAGCCAGAAGTCTACTGTGATCTCCTAGCCAGAAGTGTACTGTGATACCCTAGCCAGAAGTCTACTGTTATCTCCTAGCCAGAAGTCTCCTGTGATCCCCTACCCAGAAGTCTACTGAGATCTCCTAGCCAGAAGTCTACTGTGATCTCCTAGCCAGAAGACTCCTGTGATCCCCTAGCCAGAAGTCTACTTTGATCTCCTAGCCAGAAGTCTCCTGTGATCTCCTAGCCCGAAGTCTCCTGTGATCCCCTAGCCAGAAGTCTCCTGTGATCCCCTAGCCAGAAGTCTCCTGTGATCCCCTAGGCTTATCCTCTCTATCTTGCTTTTTAGGTCACCTGAGATTTAGCTCAAGTGACCTATTGCTATCCGTCTTTGTCCGTCGTGCGTCGTCCGTTAACATTTTACATTTTCAACTTAAGCTGAAATATTGGCAAAGTGATTTCATCAATATTTCATGGGAAGGTTACTGACATCTCCCTGACCAAGTGTTGTTATTTTTCGGGTCGATCAGAAATCCAATATGGCCGACATGGCCGACATTTTGAAAAAACAATTTCAAACTTAAAGTCATGTTCTGCTGTGCCGATTGAACTGAAACTTAATAGAAATGATCTATTCATGGTCCTGACAAAGTGTTGTTATTTTTCGGGTCAATCAGAAATCCATTATGGCCGACACGGCCGCCATTTTGAAAAAACAATTTCAAACTTAAAAACAAGTTCTAATAGGCTGATTTAACTGAAACTCGGTCTAGGAATGATCAACTAATGGTCCTGACAAACTTAAGTTAACATTATACTTAACTATTTTTTACTCAAATTGGTACATATTTCAACAACAAAAATAAATACTGTAGGACTCAGGTGACCGTCAAGGCCCGTGGGCCTTTTGTCTAGATTAATGGCTTATGAAGTTAAATTACAATTGGTGATATTTTCGAACTTACTGAAATGAAACTAAATATTATTCATGACTTGGTATTAAACAAAAGAGCCACCAGATGCTGTACACAGTCAGACCCATGTTTTGGTATATGTTTAAAAAGAAAATGAATTTGAAACTTTGAGTGAAAATATTATATGAAGCCTAAGTTGAAGATTTTGACTTGGAATTGAATATTGGGGATTAAAACTGGAAATTTTATACTGTGGTTTTAGACTCGGAATTTCATAGTGAGGATTTACTTACAGTTAAGATTGGGAACAGTTTTGAAGGTTGATAGTGTAAAAGAGACACATATCAAATTTCTTGACTAGTTTTAAGTTCCAAATATCCAGGTTAGTTCCTAGTAGAACGGTTCACCTGAGCAGGTTGAGTGCTTTTCACACCTTTGTTAATGCTGTATTCTTGTAATACATGAATAACCAAAAACGGTTGTTGTTTATTTTGCACTGATTTTGTGAACAATATATTAAAAACAAAACAAAATGACATGTTAATTGATTTACTAAACTAAATATTTTTCTCTGAATTCTTGCATTTTGCAAAGAAATAAGAATGATGCCAAATATTTGTATTGAATTAGTCCCCCTGGCAGTATTGAATTAGTCCCCCTGGCAGTATTGAATTAGTCCCCCTGGCAGTATTGAATTAGTCCCCCTGGCAGTGCTACCCGACTGGTGTATAGGTTGGCACACTGTCCGTTAGCTATAGTCCATCAGTCAGTCTATCCACCTCTTGTCTATCATAGCCAGGTTTTTTTTGTGTTTTTACCCGATGGAAGAGTGTCACATATTGTTTTGAGACCTGTGGCCCTTTTTTCATCATGCATTGGTTTTTTCCAGGTTGTATCTCATATGCTCAGCCTACAATTACATTTTACAAATTATTGTTTGTGAATACGTTTTGGGAGGCAGAGTGTTGTTTATTAAAATTGGGTGCTGTGCTAAACTGTATGCAATGGTATAGCCCTTTGTTCACCATTAGTCACTTTGTCTGGTAAATATATTTTGTACTTAATCTCCAAAAATTGCAAAATGTTGTACATCTGTAGATGAGTTATTCGGGTCATTGCCATGGCACATATTGAAATAAGGTCTCATCACAACACAACATACAGAATTATAGATCTTTGTTTAACCCTTTCACCACTATAGACCATAATGGACTCATCCAGATGAATGTATGGTAGAGTCTGATCAGGTTACCTAGGGGTGAAAGGGTTAACAACATTTGTCCAGAGGTTTGGGACAAAGGAATGTTTATAGTACTATCACCGGTTGCTTTGTGTTACCACTAGGGTCTGACTTGTAATTATTTGGGACCCTAGGTAACTTGGGGTTACAAATGATGACACAT